TCATATTAAAACTTGCAAGATGAATATAATTTTGAAATATCGAACATGCCGACAAAGCTTTTTGCCGTGTATTTTCATGAGGTAGGCGATTAAGTCTCTTCAAAGATTCCTGGTAGTTGTGAGATCAATCTCTGGGGTCTGGTATTGCTGAAAGGTGACACGCTCTGACTCACTGGAAGAAACAGACAAACGACACAAAGTCGAATAAGGTGAGTCTTAACTGATTTAAAATACCCAATGCATGGAATGAGAAAAATTTACTTGAAAAATTGAACAAATGGCTCGGTTTAAAATTCAGAGAACTTATTCAAGTATTGGAAACTGGTGAGTAGAGTTCCAATTCCAGTCGGGTTTGTTATATTTACTTGGGCAAAAAGATCCTTTCGAATGGTATGAACTCACATTTTCTCTCTCCAAAAAGTTTGTTATAATCTAAAGATGTTTTCTGGCTTTAAATTAACCTGCAAAAGGTTGATAACCCGTATCAAATAAATCAATTCAGTTGTCTCTTCCTAATTCTGAGTATAAATGTTTTTGTTTTGTTTTATCATTGTTTTTTTTTTTGGGAGGGGGGTACCATTTTTTATGAATGGGTAACATTTTTTAGGGATAGGTACCATTTTTTAGGGATGGGTAACATTTTTTAGGGATGGGTACCATTTTTAGGGATGGGTAACATTTTTTAGAGATGGTAACATTTTTTTAGGGATTGGTAACATTTTTTAGGGGGGGGACCATTTTTTAGGGGTGGGTACCATTTTTAGGTGTGGGTACCATTTATTAGGTGTGGGTACCATTTTTTAGGGGTGGGTAACTTTTTTTAGGTGTGGGTACCATTTCTTAGCGATGGGTAACACTTTTAGGGGTGGGTAACATTTTTTAGGGGTGGGTACCATTTTTAGAGATGGGTACAATTTTTTTTTTTAGGGGTGGATACCATTTTCTTTAAGGCTTCCTCGTTTCTCCGTATGTGGAATTTTTCGTATCCTTTTTAGAACCAGATTTATGTTGCCTCCAGTTTTTGTTTCATCTCTGGGTTAGTTCTCTGTGACACGCCAGAAGGTTTTTCTCGTCTGTGTTCTAATCTACAAATCTACCATTTGTCCTTGCATTGAATACTGTTGCCATATATGGTCTGGTGCCCCCCCACTGTTCATCTTGAGGTCCTACACAAAATCCAGAGACGGATATGCAATGTGATAGGTCCTGATCTGGCATCTCGTCTATATTCACTTTCTCACAGACGTGCTGTGGCTTCCATATATCTTTTCTACAGATATCTTCACGGCAACTGCTCTGACGAGCTACTGACACCCCAACTGCATGAATTTAAGCATGCTACTAGGTTGGCAACTCGGTCCCACCCTTTCACTGTCGAAACAGTTAAATATAACCGCCTCTTCTAATCCAACATTTTCTTATCTCGCACTTCCCGACAGTGGAACACCCTTCCTCTTACTTACTTCTCCAATAGCTATAATCTGCAAATATTCAAATGTAATGTCAATTGACATCTTCTGATGCCCTGATCTTGATCCCCGTCCTTTTCTCTATCTTTTCCTCAAATATCCCTCTTTAATCATGCTCCCATTATCTGTAACCTCTTGCTTACTAGTAGCACTCCCACAATGTTTTGGGTGATATGCTTAAAAAAAAAAAAAAAAAAGAGTGTTCAGTATTTACTGTGATACAAGAGGATGGATATCACATAGCAATTCAGCAGCAGTTGTTTCTTTGTTTCGAACGACATTTTCCTGTTTCTTCGATTTTAGAATGCAACTTTCGCTATTCCAGTTAGCGTTCGGCTTTCGGTGTCGCATTTTCAGTCCACCACTAAAATGCTTCGTATATATGTAGACTTTTGTATGTGTTTAATGTTGATATCTCCACTTTGTAGCGTTTGTCTTGTGCTTTTTCACTTGATAAAAGCCACCGGTTCTCTCTTCTTACAGATGATCGTTTAAAAATGAATGCTTACAAAAATGCCTGTCCTAAGGGCGCTTCTAATTTTTGCGGCGTCGTGTGAAAAGATGTATCTTTTTTTTAGTTTGACTAGAAAAGCACTTCTAAGCTTTAAATTAACTTTAGTCACATTGCAGATCAGCACCACCTATCCCATATTCATCATCAAATCAAATTACTTTTATAAAACTAATTTCAACCTTAAATGTTCAGGTGCATATCGTATGAATGATGTAACATCTATATATATATATATATATATATATATATATATATATGTCATTCGCAGATAGTACTTTTTCGCAGCTACTCAGTGCGATTAGACAACCGAATGCCCCAAGCTAGGATTGAAACCCAACCGATTTGGGGGGGTCAGTCAGAGCTTCTACCACTGAGCTATCTTCACTCGACAGAACGAATCAGCCAAATCCAGCGTATTGTTTTTACAAACATAAACAAACGCCAAGCAGCCAAAGTGCTCCATTCATTTTACTGAAGAGCTTCGCATTTACTCAGTTAACTGTTGTTTTTAGAATTAGCGTGTCATTCAACAGTGCTCAACTGAAAATATATTTTCAAGACACAAAGAATTATGATCAGAAAGAACCGAAAAAGTCTGCCTGTTAATATAATATTTTGTTATTATTTCGTTGAAATCCTTTTGGACCTTGCAGTCATTATCAATAATCAATGTGGTGTCTGTGTAGTAGTTAGAATTCCTTTGTCTACATCCGTGCATTTTTTGAGATGCTGTAGCATTACTAATTAAAAATAACCCTATCAAATCTTACCTAGCAATGACCAATATAATGTTCCAATTTCACTTACCAGTACTAGACTGTGCTTCTTGTCATAAATCAGTTATCTATATGGTACATTCTATCACCCCCTTGAATAGACGTTCCATGTGTCACTTTTCATAGCAAAGGGCAATAAAAAATATTTGTATACCCACAATCTACAAAAGCCCTTAAGAAAGATTCTCGTCGAAAACACTAAAATTCTATATAAATTAAATTACCGAAAACATAATAATGTATAATAAACATTTATCGACCTCACTTTCTTTAACAATAGAAGTGGCGTGCTGAAAGTTTTTTAATAAATAGAAAGTTGCTTATTCGAATTCCAGCCTTGCTCAACACGCGAAGGCTGGGGAATAAACGCTTTTACTAGTATTCAAAACAACAGAAAAAATATATCTCAAACAACCAAAACACAAAAAGAAGATACTAACAAGATGAACAAAAAAAACCCCTTGAAAATGGCTAAGGAAATGGCCGAAAGCGCCTGGAACAATGGTCGGTATGGGCAGTTTTTGTAGTCCCTTACTCCAACCAAACGGAAAAAATGTAAGAACTAAATAAAAATTAATAAAATATTCCTTATTTAACGAAAAATATTCCTAATTAACGAAAGATGTTTAAAAGAAAGGTTCCTGCCCAAATATATATTTGAAGACATTTTTATCTTTACACATTCTTTTTATAGATACAAATATTTAAGTATTAATAACATTTACCGACCTGAATGTCCGAGAAATTTTCATAGAAACTATTCGTCCTCCGAAAGGAATCGAACCTGCATCCTATACGGAACCATCAGTATGAAAATACATAAAAATGTCTTAAAATAATTGTCGGACTTTGTCCATTTCATTAATATATATATATATATATATATATATATATATATATATATATATATATATATATATATATATATATATATATATATATATATATATATATATATAGGTCAGCTGCTAAGCAAATTAGTCATTGTATCTCTAGAATCTATGTTAGAAATCTAGAAGTCTACCATTCGTCCATGCTTAGAATATTGCTGACGCATATGATCCAGTGCCTTTGATATTTACCTTGAGATCTTTGATAAAATCCAAAAAAGAATCAGCAATATTATTAGTCCTGATCAGGCGGCTCGGCTTCAGTCACCACCCACCGTCGTAAGGTTACCACCCTGTGCCTTTTTTATAAATACTCTCATGGTAATTATTCGAATGAGCTCTCTTCCTAATTGGTACCTAGACTTTTTTTAAAGTTAAGCGCAGTAATAGACTCTTCTTGAGATCTTATCAGTTTACAGTTGAGCTGGTTAGATGTGTAGCCGTAAGTTCTATGCTAACAGCTTCTTTTCTCGCACTTCTTACTTGCGGAACTCCCTTCCGGATCCATGTTTTCCTTCTAACTTTAATCTACAAAAATGTAAATGCAATGTCAATCTACTGTCCTCCTGATTAATCTTTTTCTCTTCCCACTAGTCGTTATTAATGTTTGTTCTTAATTCTTCCAAACCCTGGAACTCATTTAGTGTTAGTGACTTTACTAGTTTGCATGGGATGATACCCATATATATATATATATATATATATATATATATATATATATATATATATATATAATAAATATACTCAAGGTGTGCTATATTTATGGGATAAAGTGCTCAATATCAGAGATAGAGCGTGTATAAATATAAAAGTGAACATTGAAGTCAACATTAGAGGCGACAGGCTGTTTCATGCTAGATGCAATCGTCAAGCCACGAGTGTTCTGACGATTGCGTTTAGCATGAAACAGCCTGTCGCCTCTGAGTGTTGACTTCAATGTTCACTTTTTATATATATATATATATATATATATATATATATATATATATATATGAAAGTTACTACAAAATTCGCTTGAGGGTGAAATGGAACTAATGTCTTTAATTTAATTACAAAATTAAATTCCGACCTTCCATTTTTGAAACATGGTTAGAACTATGTAGTGGAAAAACCATATTTTACATCAATTAATTTATAATATTAATGCTCTGCAAATTTACATTGAGCACTATTTTGTAAAAATAAAAATATCTATAAGGACACAGGATTATATATCTTAATGTTCTTTCTTTATATATATATATATATATATATATATATATATATATATATATATGAGAGAGAGAGGGGGGGGAGTGATAGAGATAGTAGGGAAGCGGTTTAAAGCTGAGGCTGTTAGTTTAGATTGATCATGTTTCCATGTCTACATCTGTTTGATTTTATTTTCCCGCCTTTCCGTCTCCGATTTTCATTTTTTTTTTACGCGCCAAAGATTTTCCCAGACCAAAGCCAAGTAGTTGCCATTAACATCTGCCATGTTATCAGCCTGAATCAAGAAAAGACCGCAATTACTCTTAATAAATAATAGCATCACCATTCTTTATTTCTTTTTTCTTTCTTTCTTTTTCTTTCTTTTTCTTTCTTTCTTTTTTCTTTCTTTCTTTTTTCTTTCTTTCTTTCTTTCTTTCCTTATTTATTTAATTCTCTCGCTTTCATTACTGTAGGCCTTTACTTCTTATTCTGTCTATTTTTTTCTATTTCTTCTTTCTTCACTAGATTTATTTTTCTCTTTTTCTGCCTCCTCTTTCTATTTACTTCTATATTTCTTTCTTTTTCGCTCTTTTTAACGCTATATCTATCATTTCATTTTCTTCTCTCATTTATTTCTTATTTTCTTCTACATTTTTTCTCAACATGTCCTAATTTCTCACTCTCTTTCTTTCTCCCTCTCCATATATATATATATATATATATATATATATATATATATATATATATATATATATATATAAACACATATATTTCTCTTACTTAAACCCCTTCCACCCACCTCTCCTAAAATTTTCTCTGTTAAGGTTTAATCTCCCTCCTTCTCTAGACTCTCTCTAAATTCTGTTTTTATTTCCGGAGTTGTTTTTTTTCTGTTTTCTTTTTTGAATTTTTTTAGTCTGATGAATTGGATCGTATTTACGATTCCAATGGAATAAATTATGACCATGGAATATTAGTGTTTAAGCCTTTTTATTATATCCTTACTCTGTCCTGGACATTGAGTTCTACCTGGATTCTATCCTCTTGGAATTTTTTATTCAAAAATATTACATATATGTGTATGCACCTATGTATATATATCTATATATTTTGCATATGTATGTGTGTATTTGCCACTAATATTATCTATATATATATATATATATATATATATATATATATATATATATAAACAACAATAAAAACTATTAAAAATTAAAATCTTCAGAGACACTGGGTTATATTAATATTCTCTTTCTCTCTCTCCCACTCTCTCTCTCTCTCTCTCTCTCTCTATATATATATATATATATATATATATATATATATATATATATATTATAAAATTAATTGGTTTAAAATATGGTTATTTTCGCTACACAGTTCCAACCATGTTTCAAAAATAGAAGCTAAAAACCCCTAATTTAATTTTGCAATTAAATTAAAAGCATTAGTTCCATTTCATCTTCAAGCGAATATATATATATATACTGTGAACAATAAAAAATATTAAAATAATTAAAATCTTCAGACACACAGGGTTGTATATTAATATTCTTTCATTATCATTATTATTATTTCGTTTAGATTCCACAACTAGTTTCGGCCAATATGGTCATCATCAGGAGAAAAAAATTCTGCTTGCTGGTAGCAGTGAACTACAGAAAATCTACAGAATATCTATCTATCTATATTCAGTCTATATCTATCTATCTATCTATCTATCTATCTATATTCAGTCGGGTTTCGATCCTAGCTAGAGGCAACCGACCGTCTAACCACACTGATGAGCTGTGACACAGCGAAACAGTCTGTCTGTGGATGACTATATACATATATATCAGTCTCTTCATATCTATCTAGCTGCCTATATCAGTCCCTTCATATCTAGCTATCTTTCTTTCTATCGATATCAGTTCCTTGTTATTTATCTCGCATTTTTTTCCTTTTCTCTGTAAATGATACACGAACCAAGTCTTATAGCGATATATTCTTATTGCCTAACTTTCTATAGCTAAGCAGAAGTGCTTTGTCTTTTTGCGTGAGAATTAGATATATTAAATGTGTGGCATTAAATAAATTTGAACAAAAATTAGTATTACTCACGTGCATATACGTAGAACCCCGGATAAATCAATAAAATAAATACATTATTAAATCGCTAGTAGAAACTGGCGCTGGAATCGTTTCCCATCAGTCTATCAAAACAACAGAATCTCTATCCGATTACGACGATTTTTTTTTATCTAATGTCTTTTCAGCTATTTGTTTAAGCCATTATCTAGATCCAAGCTCTCGTTTCAAGACTTCTGGACAGTTTTTACATGCAGCAAATAGTGACCTATATCCACACCGTACGAACTAGGGAAAGTAATAGTGTCCGTTTTGTTTCCTTTTTACTTAAAGCCTCTTCGTTCCTTACATTCTCAGCATCTTTCTGTAGAACCACAACTCTTTCGCCACGCGTTTTCGCTTCACCTGTGGAGATATTGTCCAGCGTTCATTCGCACATAGAAGGATGTGTATTACCCAGCAGTTCAGCACTCTTTTCTTTGTTTCTAATGACCTTTTCCAGTTTCTTAATATTTTGCAGTTTTGGAAGGTATCTTTTGCTGTCCCAATAATATATTAGGGAAGGTTTATTTTTGACTTTCTCTGGAAAATCAACATTACACTACGGTGTACAAGCTGAGGTTTAGTCTGCTAAGTACTAACACTAAAAATTATATTTTTAGCTTTCACCAGGTTTTGAGAATTTAGTTTTAAATGGCGTCTGAAAAGATGTACAGAAAAACCAAATTACTGCAGGTTTTTGCTTACAAACTGACTTCAAAATTTTGTTATTTCAAGATTAAATCCAAATAAAGTTGATATCTTTTGTATTAGATAGATTGAATAGAAAACATATTCAAACCAGAATTCAAATTATGAATTTCCATAAGCAAAACATCAATTTTTTTTTATTGTACTCCATAAGTAAAAACTGTAAAAATATTGTAAAAGATTACAAAAAAGGCTACTCAATCCCTGATATTTTCAGATACTAATTAATAAAGACAAAAAATAAATAAAGGTGTATATACCAACATAATACTGATGAACATGAATATGACAAAATATTTTGTCATTGTTTATTGAAAATCACATTAAAACTACTGCACTGTAAGACATATTGCATCGTAATATAGCTAAATTGTTCAGAATAATTTCCCTTTGAAGTAAATGAAGGTCTTATTTGATGGTAAAATGATTTAGTAATAATGTTTCTTATGTCATTCATCTTGTGTAGATACAATGTATAAATCTTTAGTAAATTATAAATGTTATAAGGCGGTGCTATAAGGCTTTCTAGTCCTGGGTATGACGATAAACTACATCCGGTAGCAAAGACACTGATCAGGAGATTTTGAGAATCATGGCACCACCTCTTAATTGCTGATGTTGCCAAGTCCACCCTGAGCCACAGAGATAACACCTGTCAGGGTCCTAGTTATGGGCAAATAGTTAACCCCACCAAAATGGGTCAAAACACTATGAAAGTATAAAAATATGTTTTAATACCAGCACTGCATTTTTGAAAAATATATTACCAGTAATACATTTTTGAAAAAAAAATTATTACCAGCAATTCATTTTCGAAAAAAAAATATTACCAGCAATATAGTTTTGAAAACAATATTACCAGCAATATATTTTTGAAAAAAAAATATTACCAGCAATACTTTTTTGAAAACAATATTACCAGCAATACTTTTTTGAAAACAATATTACCAGCAATATACTTTAAAAAAAAAAAATATTAGCAGCATAAAATTTTTGTCGGCATTAAATAACTCGCTGAGGTTGATATACCGTAAATGAAACCAAATCAAACAAACCAAATCATGTCCTCGTGTTTTTAACGAAACCACGCGATTCCTGCCCTACTTCCAGTCTCATTCCGATACAAATTCAGTTCATCAAAATTTGGCTTGGTTATCCGATGAAGCTGGCACTTAGCTACTTTGGCAGCATTACGAATATAAATCTATTAAAGTCTTCCGGGATGTCACTGTTGTTGTATATTTCATTTATTATTTCCTTAATCTTGTTAATGTAGAATTTCAGTTATTGTTACTGTGTTCTTGTTCATCTTATTTCAGACTTTAATATTTCAGGTCGTTTCAATTTTTTTTTTAATTTCCCGCCACCCACTTATTGTGAAAAGTTTCGCAACGTATTCATTCCATCTTTGAATTATTCTTCTTTTTCTATCAGGAATGTCTCCACTTTTGTTTTGATTTTTCGTATTTTTCCAATGAAACATGACCCAGTGCACGTTAGCACGTATGTCCATTCCACGAACTCGTTCCTTGCAGATTGACCACCGATTCTCATTTGGATCTAAATCAGGAGAGTTTCCGAACCAGTTTATAGTACTTTGATTAGCTCAATGGTAAGGCTTGCCAGCGTGTTCGTGAAGTGTTACAATTTTTGTACGCTTCCTTGGAGTAACGTCCATCGCAAACAATGACCGTAGGACAACTAATCGACAATCGAGACAATAGTAGTAATCTCTTCAAGTCGTAGGTCAGCCGTTATCTATCTTACATATCCACATGATATGCACTTCTTATTTCCCCAATAACCTCATTTAGCAACCCTCTACTTTGAGTGGCTCTTGGACCTTGTTTTGAGTGAATGATAGTGAAAAAACTGACTAAATTCATTTGACACATATCTAAACAGAAATAGTAATGGTAACCTTTTCATTATAAGGAAACATTCGGCTTTTATTGACCGAACAGCCAGTGACACTGTCGGTTGAAATTTTTAAAATCTTTCTCCTTAAGGTTAAATTGGGTGAAGTCTTGTCTTGGTTAAATACTAGTAAAAACCAATCAGCTAATTCGATCTTCGAAATATTTACTCTATCAGTCTAATGTTGTGCTGTGGATATGTGTTCTCGTTACCTAGTTTTGAGGAAAAAACAGGAATTGTTACACAGTTCAGCTATTGTAAAATAAAATGTTATTGAAAATTTATCATTTTATGAATTTGATAACGGACTAATTTCAGCAATAATATATATATATTTTTAAATTTTAAATCATTATTATTATTTGGTGTAATAACACTGGTCTACACGATTTTTGGTGCCATGAAACAAAATACGTTTTTTAGCTAATTTGATTGTGCTGATTCCGAAAATGACCTTAGTTTTTTATGGTTAGCTGCCATTTTTACTGTACTGAAATTGCTCATTTTCGGAAAAAAGATCAAACTTGGCTGATCGCAATATTTACTTTATAAAGGTCGTAGAAACCCATCAATTTTCAGGTAGGCCGAGCAATTTATGTCAGCCACCTGAAATAAAACTATTTTTTATAAGAAAAAGTGTTTCTGTGTCAATAATTTTAAAATAGATGTACCGAATTTTTTCAATTTATTGCCAAAATTCAAACTAACTGATAAACTTTATCAATAATACACTTTATACACTGATAATTAAGGTGACATAAAACAATGAAAGCCTAAAATCTTCTGTTTGATATTTCATAAATTTATCCCATCACTTTTATTCCTTCACTACGGAAGGAAACCAAACACATTGAGAGCTTTTTGTTTTCACAGTTGGAAAGAAACTCCAACTAAAGACATCTCAATTAAATGAACCTATTCCATTGTACATGATACTGCTGGAGTATGAAATGGGACTTAAATAACATTGAACATGACAGACAATCAAGAAAGAGAAAATTTTTACCATAGTTCTTATCTTCACGAAGGTTTTATTTCTGCTGTTAGTTTATTAAATGATTCGATGAAAATACTTTTTGGTCTTGGTATATTCAATCGTGTTATTTTTTTAAAGACTTAGGGTTTGATTGTTATTGCAAAAATCGTATTTCTTAATAAGCAGACCAATATTTGTTGGTTTGAATACGAATTGAGAGGGTTCTTTTGAGAAATATTACCATCGGTCAATATCATATGTACAGAAAACAAATGAAAAAAATGCTTTTTTCCCTAAAATGAGAAATTTTTTTTTACAGCAAAAATGTTAGCTAACCAAGAAAAAGTAAAGTTATTTTCAGATTCAGTGCCCTCAAACTAGATAAAAAAGATATTTGGTGTCTCGACAACATTTCAAAGAATTTTTTTTTGCTGACCAATGCAATAAGTCTCTCCAAGTTGGTCAGTGATTCCATCCTGTTATCGGCACCAAATTTTAAAATCTATCCTGACTCTTCAAGAGGTAGGCGATCTTTATTTTCTGGAGCTGTTCAATTCTCATTTTACAACTTTAAGTTTAAAAAAAAAGCGTTTACGCGGCCCTGTGGATGATGAATTATTTTTCATCCTACAAACCCCATATATGCAGAAAACAAATTTAATTTTTTTTCCAAAATATGAGGCATTTCTGTACAACAAAAACAGTAGCTAATCAAAAAAAGTAAAATCATTTTCAGATTCAGCGCACTTAACTTAAAAAAAAAGATGTTTGGTGTCTTGACACTATTTCAATTTTTTTTTTTTTTTGTCGACCAGTGTAATAAATATTTAACTGTCGAGGTTTTTATTTTGTTTCTGAGAATTCAAAAGTTCTAAAATGGATCAAAAAATATAATTTAATAATCAAAAAATTCTTTGCTTTTGACGATAAAAATTTTAAGTTTGGGTCATTTTTTTCATCATGGTATGCTCATATTTTAGCAAATTTGTGGAGGTACCTATATAAAACATTGTTTATGTAAA